TGCAGAAAACCATATCTTTTTCCCCTTGATCCATTGTTATTTTATGCTCCCCAATCAAAAGCTTTGGGGCTCACTTGCTTTTAAAACACTTTGAATTGTCTCTCTGTCCTCTTGCTTACTCCCATGCACAATCTGTCTCTTTTATTATCCTTATTTTCTTTTAGGAATATCTTGTCTCTTTTAAAGATAAGTGTTTCTGGAACAATAATCCACCCTCCCCCTGCCCAAGAATTCCTTTGACGCTGCATTGGTCAAAATGTCTTTGTCACAGAAACAGATTTTTTTCACTATATTTCTTCTAAAGATGTTTGTTCTGCAAAGTATTTAGGAGTCAAAATCATTGTCTTGCTTTACTTTGTCTTTGCCACATACGTTGCAATTGAATTATATACTTTCATTTTGATCTCTTCATCTAAGCGTAAAGTGCACTGGATAAAATAAATGTCTTGATGCTTTGTAACATTTTCTTCATCACCAGCCTCCTTCCATCATCACACATTTCCCTGTGCGCTTTGTGCCCTTTTATTGCAACTCCAGCTGTATACACAACTGCATATATGCACATATAAAAAGCTATGATTAAGTAGTGTATGGAAGCAAGCACGTTTTTTTAAGATAGAAACCATCTTCTAGAACATGCTATATATGGTCCTTAGGAATTTGATATAACTATTATAATGACACAAATGATTTTAAGAGGGAGCTAAGTACATTTTTGAAATTGTATGATGTAGTCTTTGATTGGTAAGAATCTAAGTTGGTTGTCCAAGGAATTCTCTTCTATTCAATGTTTCTGTCTATAAATATGTTTGAAGAAAAAAAAAATTGAATGATGGCTCCTATATCATGATACCTTACCAAATTCCTTGCCTAGTATGAACCTAGAAGGGTTTTGGGTTAATAAGCAGTTGATTTTCTCCTCTCCAAACTAGAAACAGTAAGTGATATACTTGCATCATCCTGCCACTGATGGAAAAGAACTTTGTAAGTAACAGGAGTGATCTGCAACTCTGAGTTACTTTCATTTGTTTTTCAGTTTGTGTCCATAAGTCTGTAAGATGTAGAAGCTCACCTGAAGCTCAGAATTTGAAAATTATCTATGTCTATACTTATATATGTATATTATATACATATATGTGTAAATGTGTTTTTAAAACCCATCAGTTTGCATTCGTGTACATCAAGACTTGCCTGTTCATTACCTTCATGCCATGGTCTCCAAAGGTGAATTCCTACTGCCCTATCTCCTTCTACAGTTGTTACCGCTCTTTGCAGTCTGCGTCTTTTTCCATCAACAAAAAGTTAAATTTTCTGGGGAAGGGATGCAATCTTTCCCTCAACCAGAAGTTGAGAGCTTTTCTCTGACCCTGTTGCCAGAGAGGAAGCCCTAATGCATGTAAAATAATGCCAATGTTAAATACATATTTTTATCCTTGTATGTACATGTGCATATGTATGGGAATTAAGAAATCGGAGAAATCAGATTGGCCATCAGTCTTTTGGCAGAAGAGGATAAAACCATATTTCCCAATATGGTATCTAATTAAATGATCATATCCTATTATTTCCATAAGATTCTTCAACAGGGTGGTCTGGCTGTGGGGATGACTTGGGATTCTGTAGTGAAGGAGGCTGTTATCTGCAATCTTGTTCATCTCATTTATTATACATAAAGGAAAGGAAAGGGGTGAATGAGTTAGGGAATTTCAGAGAGAATAAGAATGATATTCTCCATTAAGGCCACTGTAGCTAACTTCTGCTTGGGAGATTGGATTCTATCTCTGCCTTTGCCACATGTGATGTTAGGCAAGTCATTTGTGACCAGATGATAAAGTTTGGGTTTATTTGTTCGTTTTTTGTTTTTGGAACACTGGATCTGTGGCCAGAGTATTTGATGGGGAAGGTTTGAATATTTGAAATTCTGCCTAATGTTAAATAGTATGTAAAGTCAGGTCTTTACAAGGTCCCCAAAATTACTGGGTTTATTAAGATTTTATTGCAGTCCTGTGCCTTAGCTCCTTGCCTGTAGAGTAAAGATAACAGCCTGTAATTTCACAGAGTTCTTCCAATAGCAGCCTTTCTGGGGCACTCATACTCTAGTGGTGAATTGCGTGGGCAAAAGCAATACAGACAATAATGATGTATATATTATCTGGACCTGTAGCAGTATGTCATAGAAAAAGTTTAATCCTTCTCACCTAAGGGATTGAACTACTTTCTTCATGACTTTTATTCATCTTGTTGCAGGAGGACCTGTGAAAGAATAGGATATCTTTATAGTCCTAACAGCTACACTACATACATAGTCCAAAACAGTACTGAATGAGTAACTAGTATTTCCAGACTTCATAACGGTTAGCTTTGCAGCTATCTTAATACTCTTAAGAAAATGTGTGAACACATTCCACACACACATCTAGTACGGATTGTATGGTTCTTTCCTTGTAAGCTTTTATGAATATAGCTGTTTTCATGCTTACAAAATGTTCAGATGTTGCAGCGATGGGAGCTTTGTAGCTAGTTTGCTTGAGGTACTTTCAGGCAACCTGAATACAGAGTTGTAGTTCTTGGGCAACTTGCTATCCTTCTGATTAGTATTCAGTTCTGTAACAGTCTCTGGCACTGGCTGCAAATCCTAGGAATGGGAGAAGAAAATGATGTCTTAAAAACAGCTGGGCCTGATCCTTATATTCCGGTGCTATATTGTAGTAGTCTATGGCATTCAACTAAGTTGTGCGGGACAAAGAATCAGTTGTGTCACTTTTTTCTGCTCCAAATGTGAAGACTCTTTGCCAGTGAAGTAATGGAAGTAATAAAATGAACAGAGGTGGATGAGTTTCAAAGAAATAATTTCAGATAAAGAAAGATTTTATACACACATGCACACAAATATGAGATCCCTCAATCCCAATACAATATTTTTAGCACTTTGTTACATGCTTTTTTCTGGTAGCAGTGAAAGGGAAAATTCATGTTGGATTACTTGAGGCTACAAAGAATTCAAACTTAAGGGAAAAAACATTTCACATCATTACATCAGCTATTTAGTTCTTTTTAAATCCTTTACATGTCCTTTATCTCTGCTAGTTATTAAAAAAAAAGGCAATTTCAACCATGTTTCTTATGAGTTAAATACCTATAGGAAATGTGTATTATATACCAGGAGTTCATTTAAAATATATTCAAACTCATTTTAGAGATCCTTAGTACTCATAAGTAAAGTACTATTATCAAAATAACATAAGCTTCTTCAGGTCACGAACCTCATCCCAAGTAAAAAGTTGGGGGAGGTTAATTTTCTGTAGTAGAAATAATTATATGATGCAAATTAGCCAAATTCAAAGGTTCATGGTGCCTACTTCACACTGCTTTATAATTAAAAGATGCAACAGCTCAGTATATATTGTGATGCTTAGATTCTTAATAACTCTGTCAAGACTGCGATGATGTAGCAAATCATGAATCTGAATACTTTATGCCAGTAAAGCTATTTGTTGCTTTGGTTTTTCAGGGCTGAATATCCTGCAAATTTCAAATTTGAGTCCTATTTCTGTTCTCTGAAGTTTTGCCTCTAGAGTGCTATGACAAAGGTTGGGGGGCGGGGGGGAGGAGGGCGAAGAAGCTTTGCCAAGCATGGGGAAAAACTTCTCTGGCTCCAGTGAGGTCAATACCTTGTTTAAAAATATATATATAGTGTCTGTATAGGACGTGTGAAGGGAAGGAAAGAATGGTTGGAAGTGTCCCCTTTAAAAGTGAGGGGGACAGAATAAATCAGTAGGTGATTCTTTCTTCCTGACTCATGAGCAGCCCAGAGATCTCAGAAGAGAAGAGGTGTCCCACTGGGCCTTCAAAAAGGAGCTCCCTCCCTTTGGGACTGTAAAACTGAAGGTCTAAGCCAAACCTTCCACTCCATGAGACAAGTGGGTGGTGTCAGATCAGATCCCATCATCTACCTTTCTTGACTGTTCCATCTCTTTGTACTGAAGTGCTGCTTTATGCATGGAAGAATTTAGTAAGAAGGAGATGACAGCAATTAAAGTGGTCGTCTGCCAGAAATGGATTGTTTCTAGGCCCCAAAATTTTTCATTATTGCTAGAATAGCAAAAGCTGAAGACAAAGATCAGGCATGAAGCAAATGTGCCACTTTTACTGATCTGTTTCTCTAGGAAGAAGAAAGAGGAGGTTACAGAAGAACAAAAAGTGGAAGTAGAAAAGAAAATAGAGAAAGGAAAAGCAAAAGGGAGGGAAAAGTGGTACTTGGAGTTATTTGGAGAAATAACACTCCAATCAGTGTGTACTCTGGATGTAATACTTAAAGGAAGCAATTTCCCTAGAGCCACACGAATGGTAAAACAAAGTCCCTTAAACATTGTGTTCAAGTTCTTGACTGTTAACCTATATGTAATATTTTCATATGTTTAAAAAGTTTCAAAGGTACAGATGGTTGTGGAGAATGGAAGGGAAATTTTGATCTTTCCCTTGCTGTTTGCAATCCAGAACACTAGAGGACAGCACTAAAATATTACATAAACGTGTTATTGTTTACAGTGTTAATGATATATATCTCTCATTTATATATAATGATAGGTATAATGTGTGTTAGAAAGCTTTATGAGAAGAGAACAAGTGATGCTCTGATGTTTTGAAAAGAGGGTAACTGGTATTTTCCTTAATTTCTTTTGTTGCACATCTTGAAAATTGCTTCTGAATTCACACGTTTTACAAAGCATCTGAAGTTTGCAGTCTCTATCTGACTTAATTGCTACTGTGATTTCTGTAGAAGAAATTAAGCTTTTAATTTTTTTGATGTAGTAATGCTGTGGACCCTTATGTTAAATTACCTATTTAGGGGCTACAGACTGTTTTGCCTGTAAACACAGAATCATAGTTTGTCTGCTCGCATGAAATATATTATGTTAATACTTTGATATTTGCACTGAAATAGGTATGAAGTAGTGTAGTTCCTTGAAAAAACTGCAGTTTCTGTTGTGTTTCTCTAGGTACGCTAGAACGGCATGAAACAGGTGAAACGGCAAAAGCAATTCTTTCTTCCATTGAAGATTCAGAATATTTAGTGGCAGGTGCTCTACTTCCTGGATCTCAGGATTCAAAAAAGCATAAAGATACTGGATACAAATCCTCTAGCTCTTACAAGCATGACGTGATCTCTTACAACGTTACTCACACAGAGAAATCTTCTGATAAGGTAAGAATGAAGAATAGAGAGTTTCTTAAGAGCAATGAGTTGTGATCCAAATTCTTCACCCTTTCACCTTTATTAATTTGTAAACCTGGATAAAAGGCGTGGAGACTCTGTTTTAAATTTGTAAAGCCTTGGTCCTGTTGGCTCAATTTTTATGGCTTCAACTCCATTTCACAAAACAAGTAGGGAAGATGGGGGAGTGCCTTATGTCAGGCTATCAGTAGATTGTCTTAGAAGAATTTTCTCAAGGACTTGGTACCTTTAGTTAGACCCCATTTCCTTATGCTGTTGGCCTATGACTGCCATTGGACTCTGCGTCTATTAACAAGTATCTTCAGAAAAGTTAAATTTCAGATGAAGTGGAAAAGTCTTTAGAAAAGCCACCTTATGGCACAAAGCCATTGGCCTTTCCCGATTATGTTTCTACAAAAGTGCAGGTTTCTGTTGTCATTCAATGCTAGCTTTTATTAGATGTTTCTTTTTTCTCTTGACATCATTACAGAACAGTATATGAGTGTCCGTCTTCATTTATATTAATGCAATTAAATTTGGCGCTTAACTGGTTAAAAGGAGAATGATGACAGTTCCTTGTAAGATACTGTGCCACAAATAAGTATCACAGTCTTCAGGAGAGATTTGAAACCAGCCAGAGTACTAGCTTCATCTAACAGTTTTTCACAGAAGTAATCAAGGCAAAGAATAGCAACTGATGGAAAAGATGCGATTTTCTTTTTCTTTGTTTTTTTTTGTGGTGGTTGGGGAGGGGATAGAAGCGTGAATTCCATACTGGAACTAGTGTTAATCTGCTATTAAAGCTGAAAGGACAAGTGCAGAGATACCAGATAAGGAGAAGTAAGGTTGAAAATGCAATAGTCATTTTATTTGCTTGTGCCTTAAATATATCTATATATCTATCAAATACTTGTTGATATATTAAAAAATGCATTTATTAAGTGTAAAACCTTTTATTAAAACTGTCACAATTTTAATAAAATCTCAAATTCAGGAAAGTGTGTATTACTGTATTCAGACTGGAAGATAACGGTATGTGCCTTTTTCTAGTACCTGGTTTGCCCGTCAGGAGTGAGCGTGTTCATTGGATTCTTGATAGAAAAGTAACTTAAGAATGGGACTTCATTGTTCGTGTTTATCACTTTTTATTAATGAATTTTGGGAATTCTGTTCTTTACAATAAATCAGAGGAAGTCATATCCACTAATCCACAACACTGTAGATCATAAGTACCTTCTTGCAAGTATGAGATCATGAAAAATGCCTTCCTCAACTCACAAGTGCATGAAATACAGCCTTTAAATGGTCTCTGGTCTTTTAACTCTTGGATTTATTAATTGTAGTGACTGAAAAACTATTTTTCCAAAATTTAGAGCAATATAGAGGACAGCTTAATCCGAGTCCTAGTTCTGAATTTTCTAGTCTTTTTCTTTATCATACTTGCAAATTTAAAGATACCTTTGAATTCAAACTGATGGTTGTTTAACTCTTTATATTTGTCTTTGACCTTTGACTAACCTTAGTGTGATTTCTAAAGTTCTTTTAGATGCCATTTGCCGAAAAGTCTTATTAGAGCATAATCCTGCTGAGCATCTTGTGGGGCAGATGGTGTGCTAGTTGGCCATTGACACAGAATCTGATCGCACTGTGACTTTACTAAAAGGAATGGTTTTTTCTTGGCTTTCAAAAAAGGAACAACAAAAAAACAATAGTTGTCTTTGGAACTTGGCTTTGGTAATCCCTTTTAAATTGAAAGTTGCATGAATTTAACAAAGTGATCAGAAAGAAAATTTGCTGCCCGTGGAATATGGGGAGCTAGTTTTTTGATTGTGAGATGGGAAGTTTAATATGCTTTGTGGATTACTATGATTTTAGTTTGGATGCAGTGCCACAGTAGTGTGGCAGTGAGGTAAAAATAGCATTTATAGCATGTTACTTGATCAGAGATGTATCTCAGCTGTTCTGATTTTGCAGTGATATCCATTTTTATGTTTAAACTTTGTTTATGAATTATCTTGTCCAGATAAAGATTTTTTATTGAGAGAAATGTGATAGTTACTATTAGACTTCCCTATGACTGCAAAAAGAGCTTTTCTTTCTTTCACCTTCTCTTTTTACTTTATCATTATTGTAATCATGTTGTTTTAGTCTAATACCCTGACAAATATTTTATTTTGTGTCTCCGTTCCAAGATCTGCACCAGGAAAGCCACTTCTCATCAAAAAACCCTTCATCCTTTACAAGCTGGCACTTTTTCCCACTTCCATCCCTGTTAGAGCATGCTTTGTAGATTGGGGTGGGAGAGGCCAGAGGCTATACATATAACGTGTAGGTGAACTTAGTGTTTTTATAACGATGGCAGATCCATCTGTAATGCTGTTCTGGAAAGACAGCGTGCACTGCACCAAGGGAGTGTGGAGCTTTAGGACTTTTTATAGTTGACACTGTAAAAGGCTTGTAATGAAGTCCACCATTTTTCTTAGTTCTTACTCATTTTAATTTTTTGAAAAGTACTGTATTGACTCTTTTTGGTTATTGTATTAAAACATTTTGAAATCCAGTTGCATGAAATTAGTGGGAGTTCTATGGATATCGGTGGGTTCAACACTTCATGCTATATTTATGTGAATACTGACTGCACTGATGAAACCAGCACAGAACTTTCAGATTAACAAAAGACATTATACATGTATACAATCAATATTTCATTATCAATTTGTTTCTTTGGAAAATTATATATTAGAAATTTAACAATGTTATATTGTTAAAAACATTCCTATTTTACTGAAAAATAATGAGCACACGTCTGACTCTTTTCTAAAGCGTTGCCTATCAGTTTTTTCCATTTTCTCTATTTAACTCCTGGCTTAACTTTTTAGCACAAAATATGTAAGATTTCAATTTTAAAAGATTTATGTAATAGAAAAAGCCAGGAGTAGATATTCTGTCCTGTGGGTTTTTCACTTGTAAATGATCCTTATTTTGTATAATGAGGCAATCCACATGAAGACGGCAAGCAAGATTCAGCATTGTCTTTATTTTTAATATTACTTTATTTTTATTATTACTATATTTAAGACAAAACGATGTCTGCAAGGTAATGGTCCCTTTATCCTTAGAAGAAAGGAGAAAAATATCCTCGCGTAACAGTCCAGCTTCAAAGGCTTCCTTTCAAAACGTTTGTCATCATGTAAATCACAGATACAAAAGCAGAATGCTTTGATTTCATGGTGTTTTGGCCATTTTAATTCTGTTATTGTGCTGCGCGTGCCAGTGGGAGTACCAATAACAGACGAGCGTGACAAATGCAGTTAACACAAGATCCATATTAATGTTGTCAAATTCCCTTGATATATTTAAACAGATTTTAATTATTTTCAGTGTCGAAAGACCCCAAATATATAGCTTAATAGTTGTTCAAGAAAGCTTTACTTAGTATGTGAATGTAAAACCTCTCATAAAAATGAAACTTTTATATTGGCCTTAGTCATTGACATAGGGTATTCATCAAGTCAGCAATTTGTGTGGCAAAGTGCCATTTGAATAGTGTATTGTTAGAATACTTATGGTCCACTTGACAAGGGCTCTTGCTGTAAATAGTGCAATTTGACTCCAGCTGTTAAAGAGTGGCTTTGACAGCAGCCAAATAGAATGGAGATGCTTTACTGCACCGCAGAAAAATCAATATTGGGTTCTTGTTCGTAGTAACCTGTTTTTTTCTTTTTTTGCAGATTTATACAAGACTATCTAGAGTTTATGTGTGAAATGTAAATATTATTTTAAAAGTTGCTCTGTTTTATTTTCAGATTAATACAGGTGATAAATGATGCACGTGTTTTAGTAAGCAATAAGATAGTGCTTTGTGGATATACATAAGCACTGTGGCAGTGCAGCATTATTTCAACTCTCTAGCTTATGTGGGTGGATATTAGGATGTGGGTGTATAAGTTATGTAACTAATGACACAAAATGATCTTTCCTTCCTATCAGTGTTTTTTTCCTTTTTTGTAGCGCTCCTGTAGTATCCCTGTCAATTTTCTAAGCATATCTTTTTAAAGCAGATTTCTTTGTTGTTCTCCCTCACAGATGTTGTTCAACCCCCACAGATGTTGACAATCCATAGTACCATTGTAGGTTTTCCTGAAGCATAGTCTTGCTGGTGCTGAACAGTTTTCCCGCAGTATTCACTGACACAAGGTTGCTATGATACCTGGCCAGTAGCAATAGGTATTGAATCACTGGTCTTAATTACAATAGACTACACACTAGATTGTCTGCTTGTGGTGTTTTTTTTTTTGAACTAGCTCTCATTATACTTTTAAGTCATAGCTATTTTTTGAAAATTGGGGCCATATAAAAGACTACTTTTAAAAAAAAAAAATTAAATGCTTCAGCGGTTCATATGAAGATTTCATTGATCCACATAAAAAGCTGGATATTTCTGGAGATTGTTTTCCTTGTGCTCTAGAAGCCTCTTGCATTATAAAGTTTCCCAGCATTTTAGTTTAAATAGTTTGAATGTACGTGTTTATCATGCACTGATATTTTCAGTGATTTAAATAATGTGATTAAACTTTCTTCTGTATAAAGATGATGGAGGAAGAGAAGCTTATAAAATTTGTGCAATTAATGCTAGACCAAATTATCTGTATTGAATCCTTGGTCTGCTGAATTATCCTACTGAAAAGCTGGAGCAGAAAAGGGAACTTATTTACTGTTTTTCATTATCTGTGTGGGTAAGACGAGACAAAGATGAGAGGGAAAAGTGTATTTATTTACATATGAGCAATTATGGGAATCTTAGATATGTTTATTGCTTGATATTTCACTTTCCATCGTTGAATGTTGAAATATAACAGAGCATTAACATGTGTCAAAATACCTAAATAGGAGTTTACAGGGGATCTGTAGGAAGTCATTTCAGTTTATGCAGTCATTACTAATAATCATGACCAGAGTAGTTGAGTACCTGTTACTCTAATGCTTGTTAA